TCTCTCTCTCTCTCTTACAGGAACAGAAAGGTGGTGAATTACTCCCAGTTTAACGAATCTGATGACGCAGGTAATTAAACCATCTCTAAAATGCATTGTTTTAGCTTTTCAGAAAAGTATTCAGCAGTACTCTTTGCATGTTTGCTCAATATTGGCATCCAAGTATTCTGGAGGTCAATTCATGAGACGGTTTTAAGATAGTCGGTTTGTGCGATCGTGTACTTCGTGGTCCAATCCGTCTTCATTTCTGCCTCCAGATGAGGACTATGGGAGAGAAAAGGAAACAACCAAGAAGATACGTGCTCCACCTCGCGAAATCAAGCACAAGAAATCTAAGAATTCGCAGGAAGAGAGGCAAGAGTCTATTTTCAGCATTTGTGTAATTGATGAACAAATATTATCGGAATAATGCACTTTAAATCATTTTATATATGTATCAAATGGTGCAAATGAGTGAATTTCATGACTGAATGACACACATTGTGTGTGTTCGGATCTCTGGGGATCGGGAACCTTTTTGAGATCCGTTTTCTCCTTATGACCCACATATGCGGCAGTTAATTATAACTAGGAAATAATAACCACACACTAGGACGTTCTCCTTCAAAGATCAAACTACTAACGAACCGTTTCTGTTGTCTTACAGCGAGGATTCCGAAGAAAAACTCTCCAAATCCAAAAATGATTCTGCAGGTAAATTGCGTAGAATTTTTTTCATCAACCGTAGGTGAGTTAGTGATTCATAAAAAGATGATTACGCTCTAATCTTGTGCTCTTCAGATGACTTCGGTAGCGATGAAGACAACGACTTTGGAGAGGAAGAGGGAGACGAAGATGGAGGAAGTGACTATGATGATAAAAAGGCCAAGAAGGGAAAGAAAGGAAAGGTGGAGAAGCCAGGCAAAAAGTCCCTGAAGAGGAAACGAGGTGGAGGTGAGTCGCGGATCGACAAAAAATGGCACTTTCCCTTGAACTCTAATGCATTAACCATGAAGCACCAGATGTGAAACCATCAGCATTAAGTCTAGTCTTATTTTGGCCAAGATCTGCCCATTAAGACTGAATAAGATCATGTGATCCATATATGAAACAACCACGGTTTAGGAGTGCAAGATGTGAAAATAGATGCAAATTAAATGAAGCATAAATGAAAATATGGGTGCATGATGTTCTCTGCAGATGATAGTGATGATGATAAAGAGGTGAGCAGGAAACCGAGGCAGGTGAGGCAGGCTGCGTCAAAGGCCGTGTCCAAACAGAGAGAAATCCTTCTGGGAGACGGCGGCAGTGAGGATGAGGACAAAGATGAGGAAAAACAACCATACCTGGACCGTAAGTGTGCTGCTTTTTAACTGCACTGCTAAATATTTTTGGCACTTTGATTAAGCGTCATTATTATTATTGTTGCTTTTTTTTTTTT